CTTTGTCTATCCTCTTCATAGTGTGTGTGAATGGCCTTGAACATTTGGAATTGTGGATAGTGAGAGGAAAATGTCCTTTGTATCTCCACTGGGGTCTGCACAAAATAAAAATGTGTTTTGTTTCAAGCTCAGAACAACACTGGCTAGGTTCCAGCAGAACAAAACTTGAAAAGCCTTCAACAGCTGCTCCTCTCTTGTTTTTCACCACAGGAACACAAGATTAGTTAGAGGTGGCAGTCCATGCCAAATGTTTCTTATCAATCGATCTGCACAATACTTGAGTGATGATTATTTTAAAAACTTTTTTTAAAGCATTAAAATACATCTCAGTAAGAAAAACAGACCTTTCATGTGCTTAGCCAACGAGCTACAGGACAAATAAAAACTTAATCAATCTAATTAATTCACCATGCACAAGTTTCTAAATTGCATAGTAATTTTATGATCCGAAAACATAAGGGCATGCACATGAACTGAAACTTGACAAACCACCTCAAGCCACCATAGAATGTTTGCATTTTGAATATATCCCAAAGCTCAAAATGAATAGAAGTACGTGCACAGAGTTCACACAGACATACAATACAAAAGTTTAATAAATCAAAAATCAAATAAATGTTGGGCAAATCTTTATATTTGTAGAACATGAGTGTATGAACACCAGGTATATGTGCAGCACATTTGACCTCCCTGGAAAATAAAGTATAGCAGCCCATAAGATGCACACCTCTCTTAATGAAGTTGATTTTACATAAGCAAGATTTTTTTTAAAAAAATATCAGCAGTAAATTACCAAGAAGTCTGGCAGACATACAACTTTGAGCAATCTTCTTATATGGTCATGTTCTTAATTATTTCTTTCCTCCCAAAATTCTGCTCCTTTATTTCATCTAGTCAAAATAATAGCAATAAAGACATGACTAATTTGAATTGCTCTATTAGCAAAGCTGGATTTTTAAAAAAATAAAAAACAAGCCAATCACCACTCACACAACAAAAACATAGTCACTCTGCTCAGAACAGTCAAAATGACATTGCCAAGTTTTCTTTCATGCCTGGAACACTTAGAACAACTGGTGTAAGGTCAGAATGCTTCAATGTCAAAATATTTTGCACCTCTGTATTCTCCATCCTTTATAAATCATAAATAGCATAAGTGGTCTCACTCTTCCTGAAGAGGTTCTATATAAGGCTAATTTTTCTGATGGAACATTATCACTGGAGGTTTTCAAAAATAGACTGGACAACCGATTGACTGGATGATATAAGATTCCTGCCTTGAGCAGGGGGTTGGACTAGATATCCAGCTCTATGATTCTATGATTGTTTGTCAGGGCAGCATGGAATATGGCAGGGGTAGGCAACCTTGGCTCTTTTATGATTCATGGACTTCAACTCCCAGAATTCCTGAGGAGTCATAAAAGAGCCAAGGTTGCCTGCCCCTGCCATATGGCATGGCTGTCTGATGACTATGCCCCTCTATATATCTTGCTTCAAAATTCTTTGACTTCATACCCAGATGGCATCAGTTGTTTAGTTGAGATGTATTTTACTATTTAAAACAGAAATCACTCCCTGTGGTTTACTATATCTGACCTTTTCTTTGTTATTTGTTTTATAAACTATCTCAATCATCACAGCAACTCAAAGTGATGCACAATACAATGAAATCAATTTAAAACACCAAACTAAGAAAGAGTAACAATAAAAGAATTAAAACCCACAGCAGGGAACAATACAGCAGTAATATTTGTAGAACATGAGTATATGAAAACCAAGTATCTGTGCAGCACATTTGACCGGCCTGGAAAATAAAGTACAGCATCCCATAAGATTGATATGCATTGGTCAATCACTGCCAGATCAATATTCAAAGTGGAGTCATCAATCATCCTACCCCAGGGTGTGTGGAAAGATCTTTTGGCATGGGTTATCATCTGTACATTTACCTGCCAATCGAGCTAGTTCAAGAAATGTGGAGAAGGCGACAGAAAAAGAAAAGAAAATGTGCTTCAACTGAAAGGATTCCTAGGAATTCAATATTAGTCTCTTCAAATTAGAGCAGCGGTTCTCAACCTTTGGGTCGTGACCCCATTTGGAGTCGAACGACCATTTCATGGGGGTCGCCAAACAACCCTGTCCGCCATTTTTTCCCCTTTTCCTTAGCTGTGCTACTCCCTTTTATTCTATTGCCCTGCTGAGCCCGCCAAAAGTCTCATTCTGCAAATGGTGCTGCAAGTTGTCTGCAGCGAAGGCAAGCTGTCTGAAAGTTTCCACCCCTCCCTGCTGAGCAACTACTAAAAATGTAAGTAAAAGAGGGCCAGGGGTGGGAGGTGGGAGGCCGGCGGGTGCAGGGAGGGTTGCTGGCATGTGTGGGGCCCAGTGGGTGCCTTACCTCCCTTAGGCTGGGCCAGCTGGTGGCCCAGCTGGTGGTCGGCCTGTGCCGTCGCTGCCCCTTGCCAGCTACGCCTCGGCCGGCGCAGGGGGCGGCACCACGCATGCGTGGCGCTCCCAGGCAGGGAAAGTCCTCGACTTACGACCAGTTGGGTAGTCCTCGACTTACGACTGGTTGGGTAGTCCTTGACTTACGAGCAGTTGGGGGTCGCGGCATTAAAAAGGTTGAGAACCACTGAATTAGAGTATGTCATGTATATGGATGTACACAAATGCAAGATATCAGCAAAACAAAGCATTTCTCCCTACCTCCTGCCAATGACCTAGTCACATTTCTCAAACTATACACCATAGAGAAAAATGGAAAAGAAATGGAAGAGAGACAATGATGGTAGACAGAAAATGGATAACTCTAATTCACTCGTAAATTGTATTACTGCATAAATCCATGCCAATATTTTTTCTGTGACAAGTTACATGCTAAAGATTACAGAATTTCATGTCTTAAGTTTTTCAATTTTTGCCAAGCTGCCTGTTTATGTATTTTGCAATTCATGTTTTTCTTCTTCTAAGCCAACTATTATTTTTCTTTATAATGGAATTTTTGCATACATCTCTCCAAATATGTGTACTTCATTTTGCACTTGTGTTTATTATATGTGATTCTTGCAACCATTTTTCCCTAATAAAAAGTGATTTGTTATTTAATTTTAGATGCGATTTTGTGCAGATTTTTCTGTCATATATGATTTTTTTATACTAAATTTTGCAGACTTTCAAAGGATTAACTAAATGTACAGATTCCCAAATAAGAAAGAAATTCTCACATCCAGATTTGACAAATCTCTTTAGTACAGAGATATATGGAAAAGCAAATGATGGAATACAAACAATACTGCACAGCCAAGATATCTCAAAATCTTTATTGCATGCTTTGTGCTCTCTCTTTCTCATAAAATAACCCCATATATTTAACTTCTAAATTTGGTTTAAAATCTTAAAAAGTAACATATACTGTAATACTATACAAGAATAAACATTTAGCGCTGCAATTCTATTTTTTAAAAAATTGCCTTATATACAGGAATACAAGGCAGCCTACATAGGACTCCCTCCTATTCCCCTCAATGCATCAGTCACTTTGTATTAAGGAGTTGTTCGTCTGAAGTTACCAGGTGAGGTTCTATGGCTAAGGATGAATGATAATTTGGGTCTTCAGAGTGCTAATCCAACATCTTCACCACTACACCACACTGTTTCTTTTGTGGGTATTGAAATCATGAAGTTACACCTCTTAAAATGTTTATGCAACATTTTAAATGTACAAAAAAAGATAAAACATTTTTGACATCTTCCCTTCTAAATAGTTTCTAATATTCCATAAAGCAATGGTGGCAAACCTATGCCACGTGTGCCAAAGGGGGCACTCAGAGTCCTCTCTGTGGGCACGTGCACCTTGCTCCAGCCCTGCCTTCCCCTGCAGCCCCCTCACCAGCAGCCCCCCATATTGTATGACTTGCACTAAGCATATCAGTTATAAAGTTAAGCCACATTCATCTTAAGATAGGCAAGTACATATATAAAACTAGTAAGAATTTAAGCCATCCAAAGCACATGACCTACCCTTTTCAGGTTTTCAACTGAATGTGTGAAGGGGAAGTGGACCTGGCTTGAATGATAGCATGTTTCTCTGGATCCAGAAGCATAGAATTATAGTGTTGGAAGAGATCTTGGAGGTCCTCTAGCCCAACTCCTTCTCCAGCCTTTTCTTCCTCAGGCTTAACAAGTTCCAAGTTTTGGTATGATTTAGATTCCAAGCCCCTTACTATCTTTGTTGTTCTTCTTTGCATGCTTTCCAGTTCCTCAGCAACCTTTCTGTACAGTTGTGGCCAGAACTGGACACAGTATTCCAGGTGGTCTGACCAGTGCAGCATAAAGCAGTACCATCACTTCCTGTGATCTTGTTGGTATACTTTTATTGATGCAGCCCACAACTGAATTGGCTCAGCTTCTTTTGGTAACTGTAGCACGCTGTTAATTCTTGCTTAATCTGTGGTCTAGCAAGACTCCCTGATGCTTCTTGCAGGCATTCCAGGACCTCTAATAAGCCAGAGCCTCTAACTCAGTGGTTCTCAACCTGTAGGTCGGGACCCATTTGGGGTCGAACGACCATTTCACGGTTGTCGCCAAACAATGCAGTCCGCCATTTTTTCCCCCTTTTCCTTAGCTGTGCTACTCCCTTTTATTCTATTAGCTTTTGAAAGCCAATAGAATAGACTCTCTTGAATAGAGTCTAATTCTATTGGCTTTCAAAAGCCAATAGGAATTGTCCAGGCTGTCTCTGCCCTGCTGAGCCCGCCAAAAGTCCCATTCTGTAAATGGTGCTGCAAGTTGTCTGCAGTGAAGACGAGCTCTCTGGAAGCTTCCACCCCTCCCTGCTGAGCAACTACTGAAAATGTAAGTAAAAGAGGGCCAGGGGTGGGAGGTGGGAGGCCAGCGGGCGCAGGGACCTCCCTTGGGCTGGGCCAGCTGGTGGCCCAGCCGATGGGAGGCCTGCGCCATCTCTGCCGCTTGCCAGCTACGCCTCAGCCGGCGCAGGGGGTGGCACCACGCATGTGCGGCAGTCCTGGGCAGGGAAAGTCCTCGACGTATGACCGGTTGGGTAGTCCTCAACTTACGACTGGTTGGGGGTCGCGGCATTAAAAAGGTTGAGAACCACTGCTCTAACTGTACTGAGGGCTATTCTCCCATCCAAGCAAAAGCAAATTTGGCTCTTTTCAGACCTCCAGCAAAATGTGTGGAAGTCAGAGGGGATGGAATTAGTAGCTATCATTCTCGATGCAGTTTGAGCCCTTCACACATTCAATGGGCTACCTGAATGGAGTTTTTGAACATTAGCTTTCAAATTTTAAATACTATTATTGGTTCATGTCTGTGAGATGCAAACTGGTGCTCAAAGTGTACACTTTTTGATCATTTCTTTAAAAAATAATGAAACAATTATGAATTTGTTGGAATTTCAACAACATTGTGTTATTCAGTGTTCAATATTACATAGCATATTGATTTTTTTTATTTTCAGTGTTCTGGCACCTCAGGCTGTATGTCATGTCTTCATAGATGAAATTTTGCCTTTTCTTTGCATGTCCTTGTTGGAAGCACTTCTTCATCTATTTAAAAAGACAACAATTAAGATGCATTAAGGGATATGTTTATATATATATATATATATATATATATATATATATATATATATATATATATATATAACTGTTAACAATTTTTAAAAAAACAATAATAGTATAAAACAAAAATCAACATATAGGAACTGTAAAATAGGCTTTTACTAAACATTACATTTGGACTGAGTAATTTTCTGCAGAAGAAAGGATATAGTTGTACATTTTCAAGATCACAATGACAACTACCTATAGCAAATATTAATCTATTGAATCACAAGGTTTTTCTTCTAAGCTTGCGCTTATGTGATAATGATTGTATGTGGGTCCATTAAAATCCTTACATTGATATAAAACAGTGATGGCGAACCTTTTAGAGACCGAGTGCCCAAACTGCAACCCAAAATCCACATGTATCATTGGGTGCTGGGTGGGTGTGGCCCATTGGGAGGGCATGACCCACTGGGTGAGCATGGCTGCAGTGGTAACAGCAGACTGGGTGGGACCAAAAAGTTCAATCAATCAATTCCAACTTTGCAAGATCTTTTTTTTCCCGTGAGAAGTTGAAATTGATTGATTGATTGACTGAACCTTTTTTTTTTGGCACATGGCGGTGGAGGCCTAAAGCAAAAACGTTTTATAAAACCTAGCTGAAGGTCTAGGACTGGGGCACTGGCGTGCGTGCCCACAGAGAAGTCTCTGTGTGCCATCTGTGGCACCTGTGCCCGTGCCATAGGTTCACCACCACGGATATAGAATAACTAAAATAAAGAAAACTCCAGATCTTTAAATTAGAAATTCTTTTGCATTATAAATACAGTATCTAGTGCTATACTACAAGTCATTCTATACTATAGAATGGATCTCACTTGAAAAAAAGTATCCACAAAAGAGGCCTAAAACAAGATGGATTGATGACATCAGCAAGTATTACAGGCCCAATTGGCAAAAGAACGCTCAGGCCCCTATGAGTTGGAAACATGCGGAAGAGGCCTTCATCCTTCAGTGAATAGACAATGGCTAATGATGATGATAGTACAATTATGCAGGAAAGGAGTTATTTGACATTATCTTGGGACATTTCTTGACTGAGGTACATAATTTTTAGGAAAGAAAGAAGGGAAGTTGATGGAACATAGTTAATGTAATATCTTGATATTAGCCATACTTACATCTGCATGATAGATGATATATGATCCAAGCATAAAAACCAAGAGCATTAACACAGAAATAAAAATATACAGCATCCGGGGAGATTCAAAATTCTTCTCTGAAGGTGCTATAGTAAAGAAAATAGAACATGCGGTTTACCATAGAGCTTTACACCAGCTTTCCCAGCCTTCAAATGTGAAGGAATAATACAGACATGCCTTGACTTAAGACCACAATTGAGCTCAAAAGTTCTGTTGCTAAGTGAGACATTTGTTAAATGATTTTTGCCCCATTTTAGGACTTTACTTGCCACAATTGTTAAGTGAATCACAGCAGTTGTTAAGTTAGTAACGCCGTCATTAAGTGAATTTGGCTTCTCCATTAACTTTGTTTGTCAGAAGGTCCCAAAAGGGGATCACATGACTTTGGGACACTGCAGCTATCATAAATATGAGTCAAATAAATATGAATCAGTTGCCAAGTATCTGAATTTTGATCATGTGACCATGGGGGTGCTGGAACAGTCGAAAGTGTGAAAAACAGTCATAAGTCACTTTTTTCAGCGCTGTTATAACTTCAAATGGTCATTAAATGAATTGTTGTAGGTTGAGGATTTCCTGTATTCCTTCTGACATGTTAACTGAAAAGCCTGGGATTTGTATTTCCAGTTCTTCTGGAACCTTTAAGAAGGCTGCTTTGACAGACCTCGGCCTTCCATCACTGAATAGCCTCCTGATTTGTGGACTTCAACTCCCACAGTTCACTAAAATTATTAATATGCAACATCTCAGATAGGTACATTTAATTGTTTTAAAAGATTATCATCTATTATATACATTTTTATTTATTCCGTAGAAGGGACTAATGTGATGGGTATTGTATGTATGAAAGCATGTATATGTGTGTGTGTATATATATATATATATGCGGAGTGATTTCCTTCTATATCCTGTAAACTCCTTAAGTCCAATTAGATTGAAGCAATGTATCAACTTTATAAATGAACAAGTCAATCAATATGTTGACTTTCAAAGATAATCAGTTTCGGAATTATGATTGAGTTGTAGACTTCAAGCTGAATTAGAAGTTTCTGGACAAAAATGAGGTAAATATTATTACTATTATTAATAATAATAATAATAATAATAAAGTTGGAAGGGACCTTGGAGGTCATCTAGTCCAACCCCCTGCTCAGGCAGGAAACCCTATACCATTTCAGAGAAATGGCTGTCCAGTCTCTTCTTAAAAACTTCCAGTGTTGGAGCATTCACAGCTTCTAGAGGAGGTTGTTCCACTGATTAATTGTTCTAACTGTCAGGAAATTTCTCCTTAGTTCTAGGTTGCTTCTCTCCTTGATTAGTTTCCATCTGTTGCTTCTTGTCCTGCCTTCGGGTGCTTTGGATACTAGCTTGACTCCCTCTTCGTCGTGGCAACCCCTGAGATATTAGAACACATGCTATCATGTCACCCCTCGTCCTTCGCTCCATTAAACTAGACATCCCAATTCTAGCAACCGCTCCTTAAATTAAGCAGTTATCTGAAACAAGGTCTGAATTGAATCATATTGTTTATAAAATTTCAATTATTTAAGATTCTATGTTTTTCCAGTTTAAAATTCAGTCCATCCATTGTCTTTTCAGTTTGCAATTTTTTTAAAAAAAGTTTCCTCATTTATGTATTCCTCAAATATGTACTTCTGAAGTATATACAGTAAATGTTAAATATATAGCACATGCATAGTTAATATATGTGTTTGCTCAGTGTATATTATTTGCTTCTCATCCATCTCGGTACAATGCATTTTATATGCTATACCATACTTTTATTTTGTACATATTTGACTCGAATGAATACATTTTGTATTAGTGTAGAATCAAATGTGAAGTCTAGAAAGGAAAGTGAACAAGTTGTCACTTTCCCCAAACCCAGTGACATTAGGCTTATTACTTTTTTAAAAAAATATATTACCTTAATTTGTATCCAAACACTCCACATTTTCATTTCACAGACTTTTAAGACAACATGGTTAATAGAATTCAAGATGTCTAGATAATACCAAATTAGTAAAAATGGTTAATGATTTATAATTGAAAATCAAACTGCTATTCACATGACATTTTCTTCATCCTTACCTTTTACTACCAAAAGAAACTTCACTGGGCTATTCTTTAGCTTAAGCCCAGTATCTGTGGTCAAGGTTGCTGCACACATATATCCGTCACTATCATTTTCCTTCAGTTGCTTCAGTGTAATTGTGGCTGTGTTGTTCACCTCAAAATACTCAGTGCGATTTTTGTATGCAGAATCTTCTTTCTTGTTTTTACCATGATAGGTAATAAAAAGCACATCTGTGGGCTTTGCAAAAGTTCGTTTAAGATACAGACCTTCAATCGTATGCATAAACTTGCAGGTGAGATTGATGCTTTGCCCTTCTTCAGCAATAAGAACCATCAATTCCTGACTGACCATTTTTTCTGGAAAGAAAAAGATCTGAAGTGATGGTGAATATTATTTATGCACCTGCCATATCAATGTCAATAGATCTGAAGTGTTATAGTGTGCACCAGTTCCTATTCCAATTCTATTTAAATATACAAAGCCCTGAAAATGAAGCCTCATTATAAAATCCCTTCAGTTGTATTTCAATCTTGAATCTGAGGAGAAACCCACATTTTTTTCCCAGGCATTCAGCACTCACAATGCAAGTTCCAGTTAGTCCTTCACACTAGAAACAGCCTGGCTACAGAGCATTATCACAATTTTGTACCTCTGTCTGCATTTCCTGCTAAATACCACCTTCTATAAATTCTCCTGAAAGATGGTAGACACAATAAGCAAGCTTATTTTAATCTGCCATTTCCTGTCATTTAGCTTACTGACACTACATCACAGAATGAGAGCTTCTGTGTTTTGCAAAGAAAAAAAGATGCATATGAATTGTGAAACTGCTTTAAAAGCAATAGCTATCATTTTCAAGGTGCACTGATTTGTTGAAGCATGTTTCAGCTGCCATATACCATATCCAGTGTTGTCACTTAAGTATTTGAATGGTGTTTTTTTTTTCTAAGTCTGGGTTCTTTTCTACTCTTCTATATCTAAATACTAAACAGTTATAAGAGATCTTGGGGAATCTTCTAAAACTACTTTTTATTTCAATGGTATTCAAACTTAACAAATTATCACTTCCATTCAACCAATAACATTGTACAGGTAGTCGTCAATTTACAACAGTTCACTTAGTTATAACAGCGCTGAAAAAAGTGATTTATGACCATTTTTCTCATGTATGACTATTGTAGCATCCCCATGGTCACTTGATTTACATGTGGATGCTTGACAACTGACTCACACTTATGACAGTTGCAGAGTCTCAGAGTCACATGATCACCTTTTGCAACCTTCTGACAAGCAAGCAAGCAAGGTCAATGGGAAAACCAGATTCACTACAGTTGTTACTAATTGAACAACTGCAGTGATTCACTTAACAAATATGGCAAGAAAAGTCATAAAATGGGACAAAACTTGCTTAATAAATTTCTCACTTAACAACATAAATTTTGGGCTCAATTGTGGCCATACGTCGAAGACTACCTGTATTGGTTTTGTGAGGATGTCTATCAAGGACCAAAGAAACTTCTGTGCCGTGCTATTTTATGTTACACTATGCTGTTCTTGCTTGATTAGCCTGTGTAAGTCAGCTACTATTTTTATTTCATGTTTGATTCCCTTAATGCATTATTTCATTGACTGAGGTTTAAATTGATTCATCTCTTGTATGTTGGAATTCTATGCAATAAGTATTTCCAGCAAGACTACCAGATTCTGTAACAGTTTTGTTCCCTATGCCATCCATCTGGTAAACTTGCAAGATTCGTTTTTCTCACCATGTACCTGTATATATCTGAACTAGACTGTGTTGTTTTTCTGTGTCATAAAATATATGTGAGTATATTTAATTTTTTGTCATATTTATGTAGTGCATATTGGAGGTGGTGACCCTTTGAATGCTGTATGCAACGAAATTTCATTTTAATGTATGACAATTAGTGCACATTTAAAGTGACAATAAAATTATTCTGTTCTATATTCTTGAAGTGCATTTTAGGAGGCATTTCAAGGAATAAATACAGTATCACTTTAAGAGATAGGCTTTAGCATCCCAAAGATCTCAAAACATAACTTTTATATTTTTAAGACACATTTTAGGAATGTTTAACAGTAATGTCTGCTGGAGTTACTATAGAGCAGAAATTCTGATGGAAAGAACTGTAACTCCCCAACATACATGTTTGAGTATCTATACCAAATTCCTCTGATTTGTGACATGCGTCAGCATAGGGACCGGAGCTGTGCAGATATCCACATTTCAAGGGGAGAAGGTGAGTTGGAGAATATGTTACCATTAAATACATTTTCCCCTTAAGTTTGATTGGCAAGAGTTGATCAAACTCATCAGTTGTGGCTTATTTGAGGAGCTACCAACAGGTATAAAATATGCATACCATCTCGATTTTTCTCCTTGGACTCTCCAATTTTAACAGTTTAATCTGAGAAAGTTAGCATAATTTGTTTTCCAAGATCAATAATAAAGATAAAACATGAAGTAATAAAAATACAAGGCAAGTTAATGAAACAATTTAATAATGCAAGAAAGGCAACAATTCATAGAAAGTTTGCAGAAATTTGTCAGTATTCAAAAAAGAAATTTCAGTGAGATTCTGACAATGAAAGAATCTTGTGACACTATGAAAATTAATAGCATAATTGTATTCATTACTTTTATATACATTTGGAAAGGAAAGTTCTCACATTTTAATAACACAACTATTTAGAATTTATATGTGTAAGTTAATTTCTAGGAATATTCCCAGACATTTTTCAACCAAACCTGTATATCCTACTTTGTATCCCACAAATAGACATGCATATTTATGTTTTTTTTTCAAACAATTTCTGCTTTTACACACTCAATTCTCTACTTTACATGAGCATTGCCAAGACTGTACAAATGCCATGACAGCTATGGAGTACCATCACAGCTTTAAAACAAAAATAATCCTTAACACCTGATTATTGGGCAGATGAGATGAAAACTCTTGATGGAAGTTATGAAACCCAGTTACTAAACTGGGTTTCTTTGTTATTTACTCATCATGAAAAAATACAAAACATACTTCTACAAGTCATGCTAAGATATAAAGAAAGCATACAGATTTTAAAATAAATGATATAAATATTCTGAGTATTCAGATTATTCAAAGAAAACTTTGATTAATACCCATAGGCTAAACTCAGATCTCATTTCTTCCCCTGCAGTCAGCCAAAACAATGTCTCTCTTTATACCATAAATAAAATCAAGATCCATACAAATAGTCTTTTTGAACTTAGTCTATATCATTAATTCTAAGTGAGAGTTAAAAATCAGTAAAACAACTTTTAGATATCTTCTACCTTTTGGTTCTGCATTTCCAGGAGAATGCAGCAAGAGAAAATACGCAGAAAGGATCCAAAGCATTTTGCAACAGCTGCTTTTTCTACCTGAAAGCAACTACTTTTTTACCCACAGAGCAAAAATTAACTTCCCACTTATGTGATCATGTGATTTTCAATCAAATGAGTGCTTGGCTGAGTGTAAACCATATCATTATGTACAGTCAAATCTAATGGTGTGAGTAGTTACAAATTAAACCCCATGTCTGAGGAGATACAAAGAACATGTATTCAGCCTTAGTCCTTGTTATTAACAATCACAAAAATCTTCATACTAGTCCCTCATAAGCAAAGTTTGCTTCCACTTTATTTCATCTCCACATTGAGATGAAGTATTGAAGTGTTTCTAAGATAGGTTGAAGGAGGGCTAAACTAAAAACAATCTTTATTCATTTATTTGTGTTTAGGAGATCTTTCTGAATTCTCCATTTATTTATTTTTACCAACAACTTGTTTGTTAGATTAAAAAGAGGACATTTCCCTTAAGAATCTTGAACTTGAATGTTTATTTAGGTTTACTCCTGACTAGACAAGGATGGGAATGCACTGTTAACCCTAACTGGCATATAGACTTCATCAAATGAACCTTACATCTTTAAAACTCTTGTTGCTTTAGGAGCATACATACCCATCAAGCTATTCCTTTCCAAGACAAGAAATGTTACATACAATACAGAAAAAAATGTTGTGAAAATAGTATGACCAATCAGTTAACAGCATAAGAAATTTAGTCAAATTCAATTTAGTCAATTTGCCACAGTTTACTACACCTCTTTGAAGTTTCTATCCTTGCAAATTATCTTTGCTTTCATCACACAGATACACTCCTCTACACACATATCCTTTAAACTTCACAACTTTTTTCTCTTGGAGGATCCATTAATGCCAGCCAATCAAGATTTTGTGAGTCTTCTTCATTAACTCATTCTTCTTTCATACTGTAATCACTCCTTCATTCCCTATATATAATTAAACCATTTCAATGTACTTTTTTTGTACTAGTAATTCATTGTTTTATATTCAACTACATTCCTTCAGCACACACATATTTTTTTACCCAATATGTTCTTCTTTTGCGACACACACACTTATTAAATATCAGGTTCCCATAATGCACAGGTGTCAAACTCGCCACGTCATGTGATGTGTCGTGACGTATCACAACTTTTTTTGCATTGCTGGAGCTGGGGTGGGCGCGGCCTCCTCATGATGCAACCAGCCCACGGGCCAGCAGTTTGACACCCCTGCATAGTGTAAGTGTATCCTGGCATATCTAACAACATGAAAGAAGGATGTCCTTACTGAAAGTTATATTTTATCTTCTTTCAACCATTATGGCTCACAACCAAGGCATTCATACAAAACATTCCCTATTTCTAGTTTGTTCCTTTTGTCATAGGCTTTGTCTAAATTAAAAATATATAAAATAAGTTTTCTCATGTTTGTTCAGTTGTCAGTGGCCTTCATAAGAGCAACAATTTTATTGCATTGCACTTTCCAAATTTTGTTTATTATCTCATATTCTTTTGGTCACAATTTTCAGAATTCTGTCAAACACCTTCCCAGGTATACAGGTCAAGCTAATCCAAAGTAATTTTTGCATTAATGCTTGCTTCGTTTCTCTTGGTGTAGGGGAACAAATATCATTCTTCTAATCATCAGGCCAAGGTGAAGGCTTCGCATACAGTACATTGTTAAATAAGTCATATGGTGTTGTCATATTCAAACCACATCTGTGTTTAAAACATTATACATTTTAAAAATAACATTTTAAAAATAATTTTTGGGGATTTCTTTATTGATTTTTGGGAGCATCCTAGGATTACTATGTGAGATCAATGACCATAGAAGTTCTTAAAATTAAATAAATAAATAAACAAATTCCAGCTTAGGCCATCTACTCTACAGCCTTATTATTGTACAACAGTTACAATTTCATTTTCATTTCAGTTTGAGATATTGGTCCATATTTTTGTTTAAAATAATTTTTCCGGCATTCACTTCAGCTTTAGCCCACAGTGTTTCAACATTTTTAATTCCATGAGCTTTCATGAAGGCCCTCCTCATCAAAAACAATTTGTTTCCCTCAAAATCACTCATTTTCTGGGCCACTTTTGATGTTATTGTCTCCTGCTTTCTGACTGCATTGTTTGCAACTGCCTTTTCCCCCTCAATGCATATTTCACAATATTTTTCTCATCATAATTTATATCTTACATTATTATTATTAAATGTGTCACACATTCAGAACATCTAATCATCCTTGTATCGAAGATCATTTCTTCTTGCACCAACATGATGCTACATAATAAAGTTCTAAATAACCAACAGCATTCAGTGTCTCTATATCAAAAGTGTTCAGTATGACAGACTGTTAAGCTACCAAATCTGGACTGCAAATGTCCAGACATAAAAATAATTTTACTGTCCTCTAGTGGTTTCTCATTTTTTTGCAGCCTATACCTGGTAGACCTAACATATACCAAACTGGAAGGATCTACTCAGAAAACTGGTGCCAGGTTTTTCAAAATAGTTTATGATAATGGCATTTAATTCTTGCAATCCATATTTTTAATCAGAATCCTGTTGATAGCAATTGCAATGATTCTTCAATTAAAAATTTCAACCTCTTCATTGTTTTTTATATCTGCAGGTCTTGTTTGTCCAGTTTTCAGAAAAAAACATGAATTCAAGAGCATCTGACTTCTCCAATGTAAGCTTCACATTACTTATCTGATGCTGAATTGGAAGATCTTGCAGAGTTTAAAATACTCAAAGCAAACAGAATTAAATCTCATCCAATGCCTGAAGACTATGACTTTTATTAAGCTGAATAAACAAGTCTTTTCTTCCAAGTAAAATGGAAATTCCTCCTGGTAAGTAAGAAAAAGAATGAACAAAATGATTTAATAGGCTCATAAAGCAGAAGAGCATGTATGCAAATATTATTAATAAATAAAAAATAATTTGCCTTTAAATAGTTTTAATTGTTTTTTGTCCATTTGTATCCAGAAGATGAATCTGAATTCAGGTCAATATATTTTAACCTGATCAAAAGTTCTTCCCAACACAGAGGATGGACCACAGATCAGCACATAATTCATATACACCAGGGGTGTCAAACTCAATTTCATTGAGGGCCGCATCAGCATTGTGGTTGCCCTCGGGGAGCCGAGTGGATGTGGCCAGGGTGGGTGCAACCTACTGGGTGGGCTTGGATGGAGTGGGTGTGGCCTATTGGGTGGGGATGGCCAGCTCTACATTGTTCACATCAAGGGTGCCTGTGGGGACCTGGGCAGGAGTGGGACAGATCTGAGCATCTCTGGCAGAAGGGGGTGGGACCAGGGCAAGGGCCAAGGCATGATCCACTGGAGGAGCCCCACCATTCCTCTCAGGCCATGCGGGGCGACTGGATAGTGGTGTGGGCTGCCTGAAGCCCTGGGCCACAGAGAACAAATGCCCAGCATGGCCCTCAAGCACCTGTGGCACCAATCCCAGCTCCACTTCCTCAAGGGGTGCCCAGCTGCACTTACCTCCTCCTCAAGGCAGCTGCTGCTGCTGTGCTTGCTCTCCTTAGCCAGGTTGCTCATGATGGGTATGAGGGCAAAGTCAGAGGGAGGCCCATTCCCTCTCCATGGGAGGAGACCTGGCTTTGTATCCAAAGCTTACTTAGCAATAGGATGGGAGACCCCCAGGATAGGCCAGGAGGAGGGGGCAAGGGGATGGTGAAAGGGCAGCAGGGCAGGACTAAGGCAGGACTTCCCTCAGACCCTCCCTCTCCTTCTTTCCTTTCTTCCTTCCTAAGTACAGAGTGGTGGGAAAATATTTGAGATTAGGGAGGGAGAAAAACAGGAAGAAACGCAGCTGGGGAGGTGTCACCCTTCATGAGGAATGAAGGAATGCACCATCGCCTGGAAGTGGCCAGCACATGGTTCTCACTACTTCAGATATCTAGCTTGGTGGGCTCTGGGGGAGGGGATGCCATGACCAGCAGGAGAGTCAACATTACCTGTACAATGCCGCCCAGCCCCCAGCCTGCCCGGTTTCAGCAGGCAGTGGGGCGCTCTCCTCACAGTGCCGAGAGGCTGAGCAAGGGGGCACGAATCTGAAAAGAAATGTGGCGACACCCAGCCCCCAGCCTTCCTGGTCTTGGCAGGCAGCAAGGCACTCTTCTCACAGTGCCAAGAGGTTGAGCCGGGCAGTGCGAAGCTCATCAGCTTTGTACCTTGCTGCCTGCTGAAACTGGGCAGGCTGGGGGCTAGGCAGCATTGCACTTCTCATCAGTTTCGCGCCACCTGGCTCAGCCTCTCAGCCCTGTGAGGAGAGCGCCCCACTGCCTGCCGAAACATCTCTCCCAGAGCCCATCAAGCCGGATATGTGAAGTAGGCGATGGCCATTTGCTGGCCACTTCCAGGCGATGGTGCATTTCTTCATTCCTCACAAAGGCTGACACATCCCCAGCATGCACCCAGTGGGTGGGGCTGACGTGGCAGGTGCTGGTTCCTCGCTGTTTCCAGATGGCCTTATGGAGCTAAGACTGAATGCGTTTCAGCATAGATGGCGACCACGAAATTGTACATTAGCTCCCGGCCGGCCTGGGCCAGGGCCAAGGCAGCAGGGGCCATTCCCTCACTGTTTCCAGGATGGCTTTGTGGCCACATGAAACCACTTTGTGAGCCGCATCCGGCCCCTGGGCCTTGTGTTTGACATGTCTGATATACATTATAGGTAGTCCTCGACTTATGACTGATCACTTGGCAACCGTTCAAAGTTACAATGGATCTCCCGGAGCTACTTATGATCTAGATTTTGAAATTCTGATACACACACACCAATGGTCATGTGATTGCATTTTGAATACTTGGCAACTGGTCTGCATTTATGGCTGTTTGCAGCATCCCACAATCATGTGACTATGATTTATGATGTTGTTGTTTTGTTGGAAACTGGCATTTACTTTGTTTCCAATTTAAAAAATATCCATTGAGTACAATGGATTTGCTTAACAACTGCTGTATTTGCTTAATAACTGCTGCAAAAAAAAAAAGTTGTAAAATTGAGTGTCGTCATCTGTTTAATAATCACCATGACTGAAAGTTCTGGGCTCAATTATGGTCACATGTCAGACAACCTGTATAGATTCAATCCAAAATCTGTAATTATGACTAGGAAGGATTCCAGAACTGCTGCTACTCAGAGTTAGCAACAGTGATTTAAATGAATTATTATTATTATGGACCATCGCACAGTCAGCCAGATGTTCAGACTGGATTTGGCATTTTGTCTACCTATCGAGTCCTTACCCAGGACCTGGGATAGGCAGATGTGGATGTTTGATGGTATTACAGGTATTGTCACAGGATGGAAGCAGTTCCTAGTAAGGCCGCCTTTTGCAATTGACTAATAGCGAATTTGTCAATGCCAATGGTGTTCAAGTGGTGCTCCAGTTGTTTTGGGATTGCACCCAAGGAGCCTATGACTATTGGTACTACCCTTGCTTGCTTTTGCCACAGTCTTTCTATTTCTATTTGTAGGTCTTTGTATTTTGTTATCTTCTCCAGTTCTTTCTCTTCTATTCTGCTGTCTCCAGGCACTGCCACGTCCACTATCCAGACTTTTTTGTCTTTCTTATCGACAATTGTTAAGTCTGGGGTGTTATGTTGCAGGTGCTTGTCTGTTTGAATTCTGAAGTCCCAGAGTAGTTTAATTTTATCAATTTTCTATGACTTTCTCTATTTTATGATCCCACCAGTTTTTGCTTACAGGCAAATGATATTTTTGCAGATCTTCCAATGCACCATTTATTACTACTACTACTACTACTACTACTACTACTACTACTATTATTATTATTATTATTACTATTATTATTATTATTTCCACATCTGCCTATCCCAGATCCTTGGAAAGGACTCGATAGTAGACAAAAATGCCAAATCCAATCTGAACATCTGGCTGACTGTGCAATGATTAGTAATAATAATAATAATAATAATAATAATAATAATAATAGAGTTGGAAGGGATCTTGGAGGTCATCGAGTCCAACTCCCTGCTCAGGCAGGAACCCTACACCATTTCAGACAAATGGCTGTCCAGTCTCTTCTTAAAAATTTCCAGTGTTAGAGCATTCATAACCTCTGGAGGCAGGTTGTTTAATAATCTGAGCCATATCATAAAGTATCCTACATTCTTACATTATGCTTACAGAGAAAATACAAGAGGTGGCAGAATTTGTGCTCATCTTGACCAAATATATGAGGCAAAGCATACAGCTCAACATCTCATTCTAAATGGAACTACATCTATATCAAGTGGGGGTACCTCTGGTTCTATATTAAGACAAATAGATTCTTCAACATCCTCACAAATGATCTATATGAGGGATAGAAAGGGATCTCATCAGATTTGCAGATGATACCAAACTGGGAGGGGGGGGGGGCAATAGCTAACACAGAAGATAGATTCAAGATTCCGAAGGATCCTGACAGACTAGAACATTGGGCCTATCCAACAAAATACAATTCAATGGTGAGAAAAGTAAGCTCCTACACATAGGCAAGAAAAAACAAATGCACAGATATAGATTAGGGAGTATCTGATTAAACAGTACAAAGCCTGAGAGGGATCTAGGTGTCATTGTAGACCACCTTTTAAGGATGAGCCAGCAGTGTGCTGCAGCTGCCAAAACACCTAATGTAGTCCTAGGTTGCATCAACAATGGAATAATTTCAAGATCACATGAAGTGATAACACCACTTTATACTGCACTGGGGAGACCATGCTTGGAATACTGTGTCCAGTTCTGGTCACGATACAAAACAGTTATTGAGATCCTAGAAAAAGTGCAGAGAAGAGAAAGAAAGATATTAAGGGATCTGGAGGTACAATGAAAAATTGAGAGAAGGACTAGGAGTAATATGATAACAATCTTCCAGTACTTTAGGGGCTGTCACATAAAATAATGCTATTTTCCAAAGCACCTGAGGACAGAACAAGAAGTTAGGATTGAAGATCATTAAAGAGAGATTCAACTTAGAACTAAGAAGACATTTTCTGATAGGGAGAACAATTAATCAGTGGAGCAGCCTACCTCCAGATATTTTTTTGTGGGGGGGGGCCTCCATCACTGGAACTTTTCAAGATGAGACTGGGCAGCCATTTGTCCGGAATGGCATAGAATCTCCTGCTTGAGCAGGGGTTTGGTCTAAAAGATCTCCAAGTTCCCCTCTAATGCTATTATTCTATGTTCTGTGTTTTATTCGCCCGATTCAAATCTATGTTCAGTATTTTCTAGGCACTATAGGTTGAACTATATTTAAATATGAGTTCCCAGAGATGTTAAAGAATGATGCTGTTTTCTTGCCAAATATTAAGATTTTTTGCCATGTCTAGCACTGAAAAATATCAATGGACAACTAGCACTTACTTGCAGAAGATGCATTTTTCTTTCTTTTTCTGTAGCAAAATACAGCCAATAAACCGAAAGCCAATGAAATAAAAACCACCGGGATGCCTATTATCCTAGTTGTTTCCGGTGTGGTCTTTACTGCTGCTGTAATCATGGAGTTTACTGCTGTAATCATGGAATTTATAACATTTCTATGTGCCATACATGTTGGAGCTGTATAAAATAGAAAAGGAAATGGAGTTAATTTTCCATGTGGACAATTAAAAAGGTGGTATCTTGAAGCTGAGCTTAATGCCTAGTAATTTCAGGGACATGCATGTCATTTTCTTGGCAATAGCACAGACGTGGTTTGTCATTACCTTCTTCCAAATTAGTTTAGTTGTGGGTTTTCCTGGTGGCTTTGAATCCAAGTATGAACTTTGTTTGATCCTGCTTAGCTTTTTTGGTTCAATCAAGTTCAACTATGTGTTGCTACCTAGAAAAGTATATGGTGCTAATCAAATTTGCAACATGGAAGGAAGCCATTGGTTTCCCAAAAGTGGGGCTGCCTTTCCTCACAACCACAGACCCTTTTTCTATTGAAAGAATCTCTTCTCCCAGATCTGCCAACAGAAGTACTACCTATTAATTTCTGTCAATCATGACAACTAATTTAAGCTTCTATTAAACTGAATATTAGATAAATGGGACAAATAACATAACAAAGTGGTGGGCTTCATGTACTACTGGATTTCTAGAGAGAACTTCAGAGATAAATAGCTTGCCAAGAACTCAATGAAAGACAGAGACTGGGGTTTATTAATTCACCCCAAAGATCTTATAATTAAATTTCCATTTAATTATTCCAAAATGCTTATTACCTACCCGAAATTGGCTGATGGAAACAGTGGAATTTTAATGGGATCTGAGCAAACACAATTGTCAAGTCTGCCTTGAGAAAAATATATTGCATTAACAATTTTTTTTAGTACTTGATAACTTTAATTAACTTGGACAGTACTGATGGTTGTTGACAATCTGACGTATAGACATGACAATGAAAAAAAAAATGAAACATACCTGGTTGTCTGCTGGGAACTCTTGTGTTGTTGAAAGTACAGCAATATTCAGTTTCAGAGGGAGGAAATTCCAGTTGAAGGATGTTGCTCAGATTGAATGACCCATCCTCATTTTTCACAGACTTAGATGTTGACTTAAGGGTCAATTTAGTGCCAGCTTTAGAAATCCAATAGAGCTTCTCCTCTGGGTAACCTCCAGATGTTGTACAAATAAGAGTGTCCTTCTGTATCATGATTTGAGGACTTGTATATGGTGCTGCAAAATATTGACAATGCACTAAGTAGAACAGAAGTATATAGCTCACACACTTTAAAGGAATAACAGTTCTTCGAGGTCTACAGTTTTTCAATTATATTTGTGTCACTCCCATCCCTTGTCTCTCTTAGGGAATTAAAGAATGCAAACCATTATCATCAATCTCTAATTCTTTTCATTGAATTATATCAAAATAGAGAAATGTGAATGCCAAAGACAGCTACAAGATAGTCCCTGAGACATCATAATTAGCAGACTAAATACATATATTTGGTTGGGAGTGGGGATTTGCAGTTAATATTATATTCTGTTTTGCTGCATTAATATTCTAGATTTTAAAGGAAGAACAATGGTTTGTTTGTTTGTTTATTTATTTATAGAGTGTTGTGGGTAGAATAAGAGGTGGACTAGTAATTTATAAAAATAATAAAGGCAGGTTAAAAATAAATAAATATTATTCTAGCATTACACAATTAAAAAAAGTTGATGTTTTAACCACTAGATCAAACAGTCTTATCTACAAAAGCATTTTGAAGGTATATTTCAAAACAAAATTTATGTTTATGACATTCTGTTTGTTCCATATATTTAAATCAGTGATTCTCAACCTTTCTAATGCCGTGACCCCATAATACAGTTCCCCATGTTGTGGTGACCCCCAAGTGGGTGTGGCCACCAATAAGAGGGAGTAGGACAGCTAGGGAAAAGGGAAAAAAATGGCGGACAGCATGGTTTGGCGACCCCCGTGAAATGGTCATTCGACCCCAAATGGGGTCCCGACCCACAGGTTGAGAACCACTGATTTAAATGCTTGCTTAGTGAATAATCAGAGTGGAGAAATCTGATTGGAAGCCTCCCAGAAGCATCCGATTGACATTGCTGGAAACAATGGTGCAGGACTAAATGGGCATACCTTGTTAACCTTACTTTTGTTCCTATAACAAAATAAGGTCTAACATGTCAATGTAATGTTCATTTCAAGCTTGGAGAACAAACATTCATCCTCAATTTTCATTTTCTCTGTACCTAACCATGTTCATACTAAAATAACAACATGTGTGCTATTTGTGAGGAAATGCAGAACCAAGCTTGGGAATAAGAAAGGGATGAGCAACTATTAAGGAACTTTGAAAAAAAAATCATAATCCCAAGAAAAAGGAAAGCCTGAGAAAATAATTTAGAATAACCCCACCCTGATTTTGTTTAGTATAAAATGGGTAGAGATAATCTCTGATAAGCTTTGGAGATTCTCTCCCAGCAGATGTTTATGACGAAAGCCAGCATTAATAGTGAAATTTCATGTGTATCCTTTTAAACTGCAGCTGCTTTAGCAATTGATTTTGACCATTACATATTCAAATCTAACTTCTTAATGCCAATTGATCATAGGCTCAGACTTACCAAACACCTCTAGAGATATAGTCAGTATACCCATACTGTCTTCAGCTACATATGTTAAATCATAGTTTCCTTCATGTAATATCTTTGTTTGGTTAATTACAAGAAAGGCCGTTTTTCTGTTCTGTTTTTCTGTTTCAACACCAGTTAAATTTGCATTCTGTTTGGTAGAATTGTTGGAGTAGAATTCCACTCCCATTTTTATAATGGTTTCATTATTCTTGCATTTAATTTTAATAGGTTTTCCAAGTTCTGCAATGTTGTGTTTTGAACATGATAAATTACCAGCTCCTGAAGAAAAAGCAGAAGAAACATACAAACACACTGCATTTTTTTCTTATAGCAAACCTAAATAATTAGGAATTAAGAATACTATTTCTACAGAGCCATGGTGGTGCAGTAGTTAGAATGCAGTATTCCAGGCTAATTCTGCTGATTGGCGACAGTTCAATTCTCAATGGCTCAAGGTTAACTCAGCCTTCCATCCTTCCAAGATTGGTAAAATGAGGACCCAGATGGTTGGGGGCCATAGGCTGACTCTGTAAACCTCTCAGAGAAGGCTGTAAAAGCACTGTGAAGCAGTCTATAGGTCTAAGTGCTATTGCTATGGCTACAGCCAACAGACATATATGGATTGCAAAAGGATCAGTGCTTAGTAGTTCAGGCAATAAGGCTAATAAGAAACTCTCCTAAAGTTTGGGAGAATGGCTGCTGTAATTACCTCTCTTTCATCTGAAGTATGCATAAGCTGAAATCATAATGCCATTGATTAGAGTCAGCAAAAAATGGTGGTTAAAAATAATATATGATTAACTGAATAACTATGGCCTAGTTTAGTGGTGGCAAACCTATGGCATGTGTGCCAGAGGCGGCACTCGGAGCCCTCTCTGTGGGCATGTGCACCATGACCCAGAGATGGCAATTGTCCTTCTTCAACCAGCTGCCTGCTAACTCACCAAGGTCCCACATGGCCAGATGCATTCCAGCATGGCTGGTTTCCCTTCCCCCTGTCCCATCCCTCCTGGCCTCACATGCTCTCCTTTTCCCAGGCACGACCCACTGCATCCCCTCCTCAGCTTTTGGCCATCTGTCCAGCTTAGAGGCAGCTTCTCTTAACTTCTGGTGGTGGGCTGTAGAGCCCCAGAATGCGCAAGTCGAGGGGCCGGCAGGCTGTGGCTGCTGATGGACACTGTTGGTCCCCATGCACTCGTTGGCCTCTGTGTTCGGGAGCCGATGGTGTCAGGCAGCAGCTGCCATGGCCCCTGCCTCGCCTTGCCCTGTGACAATGGCATCCCAGCCCTGCCTCACCTCACCCACAGGATGAGCCTCCTGCCCACTGCCCCACCTGCCAGAGACCCCCTGGCATCCCTCCCATGAGCAACATCGAGGTGACCATGCCCACCTTGGCCACACTCACCCAGTCTGCCATGACCACCACAGCCACACCCACGCCCATCCAGTGGGCCACACCCACCTGGCATCCGGTGATAAATAAGTGGGTTTTGGGTTGCAGTTTGGGCACTCGGTCTCTAAAAGGTTTGCCATCACTGCCCTAGTTCCACATTATGCTAAACGATAGTGTCTTTACACAAAGTCTAAACTATGATCAAAAATACTTATTGTGAGTTATATAGTCAGCCATTATTTACTGATAATTACAATATGCTCTATGCAGGCAGCCCTGGAAGATCTTCCAGAAACTACAACTGGTCCAGAATGTGGTGGCATGCACAGTTTTAGGAATTTCACATTTTGCTCACATTACATCACTGCTGTGTGAGCTGCACTGGCTATCAGTTATTTCCCAGGTGCAATTCAAGGTGCTGGTTCCAGCCTTTAAAACCCTAAATGGCAAGGGACCAGGCCACTTGCCGGCCTGCTTCTCCCTGAGGCTATCTGCCTTCCCTATCAGGTCAGATGGGGTTGGCACAGTCCACGTCCCTTCCCTTAAATCTTGTTATCCTGTTCTCTGTAGCTGTCTCCACCCTGTGAAACACTCTTTCCCCCCACAGATTCAGCATTCCCCTACTCTCTTTGTCTTCTGGAAGACATTACAAAGCTGGGTTTTCCCACAAGCATTAGGGTAGGTTGAGGCTGGTGCATAGTATAATAATGCATAGAGGTGGGGAGTATGCCATCCTGTGATGCCATGATTTGTATATAGGGTTTCTTGATTTTATTCTTGGTTTTATTGTTTTATAAACCACCCAAGTTGTATTACAATATGGGTGTCTATATATGTCTTTTAGAATATAAACAAATATCAATAAATCAATAAATAATATTCTAGCCATGCATGCAACTCACCAGGAAAATATATTAGGTGATCAGCAACAGCACCAAGTAAGCAGTATCCATACTCTATAAAAACTTACGTTTTCTATATAAAATATCCTTATCCTACATATAGTCTTATTTTTTTTCGATACCTCCAAAAATTCCCCCTTTTGGAAGATTGCAAAGCTCAATTTTGATTCAACTGCAGGATGAGGCTGGAGGAGAATATCTAGCTTTATACATTTTTGTCATTAAAGACAACTCATTTTTGGTCCTACTGTCTTTCTCTTCATAGGGGAATCTGAGATACTGAATCTCTTCTGACAAAGGAGAAATGGGGAAAATTTCCAATGCCAGTAGAAGAATTTTTATTTGGGCCAAATAAAACTGTTTTTAATTGACATTTGCAATTCCTTACTCTCTCTTTTGTGTACTTGCACCCATCCTCCTTAATATCTTGATAGGCATCCTAGTTGATTCTTAAACTCAAGATCCTATCTTTAAAATATACATATATTCCTGTAAGTTGGATTTATGGAGTTGTTTCTTTATAAACCACTTCAATTATATATAGGTTGTTTTTAAGCAGGAAAAATTGAACAATAACTACCACATATTCCTGAATGTATAACAGCGAACAAGAACATCTAGTTTTTCAGCCAGGTATTATTAAGTAATTTTTCCCCATTCTAAAGCCTAATAAGAATCATATAAGTAAACAAACAAATAAATATATGGTCTATATCCTATAACTGAATTGTTTTTATTGATTTGACTTACATTAAATTTGTAATAATTTCCAAAATTCATGACTTTTGCATTTGGCCCTTAGCATAAATTTACAGGTTATCCTTTGTACTGATTATTAGTATTCTATGACTTGACACAGCCAACACAATACAAACAATACATTTTAATTCTCCAAAAATACAGCAGCTATCATTTTAATATTAGAAATAGAAGTTCATCTTCTTCTCCAATAAAAGGTAAAGCAAAATAAGAGTAAAGGAAATGCTGTTGAATGAATGTCCATGTCCTGTTATAAGCTGGTATAAAGATATTGTAGCTATAAAATAAACTGAGATAATAGAAAAATGTACCTGCTTGACTGTCACTTAAAACATTCAACAGTAGGAAAGTGAACAGTAACTTTAGGAAAGATGCCATGTTAACATCAATTGCTTCTGATCAGAATCTCAGTGGAAGGCAATCTTGAAACAGCAATCAGTGTTTTTCCTGTTGGGAAATTAGGACATTTTGCTTCATTAAAATAATCTATGAATAAAATTACTCCCCAAATAATTCTTTTCCATGTACTTCTGAATTAAAGCCTTTCTTTAAAAAAAAAAGTTTTGACACAAAATTTTGAAGAAGAAAGAAATTTCTTCATCATATAAGAGAATGGTAATGGAGAGCCAGCTTGGTCTAGCGGTGAAGGCAGCAGGGACTAGAAACAGGTGACTGTGATTTTTAGTACCATCTTTGCCATGAAAGCTGGCTAGGTGACTTTGGCCCAGTTACTCTTGCTCTGCTTATTATGTCAGGCTCTGGTGACGAGCTGGTCTGTCAGTTCTAAATACAAGCAGTGAATCAACAAAGAAAAAAAAAAAAGCAAGTCCTGCAGTTGCATGGAAAACGCTAGGAAGGAAAAAAATAGAAGAGAACTGTAATTAAGTAGTGACAATACAACTGTCTGTTATAAAAATATTATATTCCCTGTTTGAAGGGACTTATTTTTATTTATATCTTTGCAATTATTATTGGATTATATTATTGTTTATATAGTTGCAATAAAAGACCAAGTTAAAAGGAAGAAAGATAATGCATGTTTCTAAGACTAATAACATGCATTAAAGGAAAGGACACATGAGATAAAATAATGGATAAAATAAATTAAAATCAACTCAAACAAATGTCTTATTACTTTTTCTGGAAAACAGCTTGCTGCGGACCCATTACTTGTGCCAGGAAGAAATCCCTCGATGGCTTTTTCTACATGGGATAAATGTTGAAGACAACTTTCTGAAAAGGGTAGAAGGGACAGGGACCCAGATATCCCACCTATCCACCTAATTGGCTTCCAATATCTATAAGCACTTGGGAGTAAAACTGTTTTACTTCCAAGGGCTTATAGAAATTGGAAGCACATTACAATCCAAGCAGTCCACTGGAGTCAAAAATAGGAATAAAATCCCAAATGGCAGAATAGGTTGGACGATTTTAGTTTACAGGTGGTGAAACTTTTGTTTTTCTTTTCATGTTCAAAATGTGCACAAAGACAACTCCCTGAAAGGAATTTTGGTTGTTGCCATTGTTAATAATTTTAAACTTTGTAACAGTGAACAACATGATTGACCCTTGCGGGTTGAAGTAATTTATCTCTTTTCTGGCTCTCAAATCAGAGAAAACTCTCATTCGTCTTGTTTCCCCAACACTGAATATACAGTAAGCAGTTGTCCACTTCAAATAATTGTCAAGAAGATATTCATATACCTTTTATGAATAAAAATATCAGTGGATAGTACCAATTCATATCTTTTTAACTTCATAGTAATAGCTGTGAAGTAAGTCACCTTATGAAAATAGCAATATAATTCATTTCACAGTCAGATTAGAAGCATGTATTATATTAATTTATAAAAGCATTCCAGCATTTCTTTTCTCACCAAAAGAGGATGCCCTGCCTCTATTGAGCATATCAGTAATATAAGATTAATTTGTAACTGATTTTAAACAACATTTATTATAATTTCTCCCCATAATATAATTTTCTATGATGATGTGAATGCTTTCACTGATATATCTGTGACTAGTATGAGTGAAAAGAATTGTTATCGGTTCACTTTTTTTCCTTCTGCCCACACAGTCTCAGTGGGTTTGCGTTTCTATAGTAAATCCGAGGTACCAAATTATAAATATAGTGAGATACAGTTCTAGAGATCACTCACTCTGTAATACAAAGTGGTTTTTTAAAATCTATCTTTATTGTTGAAATAGTGAAATAGGGTGCAAAAGAGAAAAAGAGGTAAAATAAAATAAAAGAGGTAAAATAAAATAAAAGAACAGCTGTTGAATATAAATAAAAAGCATTATGTAAAGACTTTCTGGTAAACATTCTTCCCTCTTCTTCCAACTACTGCTCATAATATGGTTAGCTATACATTATAATAAATGTTAAAAATCATTGCTGGTTACTGTTTGATTTCTAGAAACCATATTCAAATGACTAAATCATAACCAAATGTCTAAATTTTTCTTGCTGTTGCAGGAAGCCCCCCCTTTCCCAGATTAAAATAGTATTTAATCTTAATATTAAAAAGAGGCAGAATATTATATTTCTCCAAAGGAGAAATGAAGAAAAATTTCAACAAAGGCAGAAAGCAGCCCCAGTCTTTCTTAATAGTCTCAAGCAGAAGCCTCAAGTCTTTAGAGATGGATATTTTGTACCCATTAAGAAAGACTGGGCCAATCTATTCATAAACAAAGCGCTTTCAGCCCCTACATCTGATGGGATTAAGAATTTACATTCCCCCACCCAAATTCTAAGGATAGGACATGAGCTTTAGGACATAATAGGATTCATCCACCACTATTAGAATAGCACGTGACTGTACCACAACTTTTTTGCCATTGCCGGCAATGGGGTAGGGGAGGTTTCACCATGATGCATCCGGCCTGCAGGCCGACAGTTTGACACCCCTGCCCTGGAGCATCTCAATCAGAATTCTATAAAGATACATCCACTCACTCAGCCATTTTCTCAGCTGTCCCAGAACTGCATGCTGTTGCTGGTTCTGCTCATCAATAAAGAGACCTTTCTTAAGCATCCTCCATTTTATTCCCTGGACCTGATTTTAATTCCTACATTGTGCAATGAGTTGTATATAAATCAGCCTTTCCTACTTTTACATTTATATACTGCAAATTGTGCCCAGCAGCATTTTCTCTACTTTTAATTTCCCAATCTGATATCATCTGCAAAGCTTCTCTGGGAAGTTTTTTCTTGCAGCTGTCAACATATATCATAGTAAGCTGTGGCATTTTGCCCTTATATTTCCTGGAATTATACCTAATAAAATATTTGTGCTTTCATTTGAAATTTTATTTTTAGAACTTTTTGAATGTTTTGATTGTTTTTCCAGTTCTTTTACGCTTTTATTTTTAACATAACCACCACATGTGATAAAATGTTCCTTCTTTGTTATGACTTTTCCAACATTTGTTGTTATGTGCCTTGTCTGTCTTGGCAATCATTGATGGAGTTATGCATCATCCTTAAAACATTTTTCTTAAATTATAGTTCAGAGTAACTTTTATAGATTTTTTTTCTGTAACTCTTCCCATTGGGACACTGTGATTGTTTCTTTGAAGTTTAATATCAATTTTACCATAATACTTTAGATTTGTTCTGTGTCCATGTTGTATTTCAGCAACAATTTGTAAATACATCTTAATATGTGTTCTTGATTTTGTATCAACATTTCAAATTCTATTTACTCAAGATCCTTACTTCTTTTTAAAGATCACTTTATTTTTTTCAGTTTTTTTTTCAAAGATCACCTTATTGTTTCAGTTATTCCCAGATATATTAACCATGGTTCTTCTTTGGACAATACTTGTGACTTTGATATCTTTCCTGAATCTGGATACGATATGTTGGCAAATGTAATTAATTTTATTTTATTATTTTATAATATTTTATTCTTCTCTATCACTGCTAGTGTCCTCTCTTTTCTGATTTGAGATTTACTTGGTGACCTTCAACTGATGGAAGATATTCAGTGCAAAAGGGAGATAGAATGTTTTCCAGAGATTTCTGACATTTGCAGGAAATATACTTGCAGTGAGATAAGGACTTTTCTGCAGACCTTGCACTTAAAATTACTGTTTGTTTCCCAAGCACATGTGTTATCACTTTCTAATTAAACTCTATGTCTGCAATCTATATTAAAATTAGATAATTGCAGCATATTTTTCCCGCTAACATGATTACTGCATATTTTTAACTGAGATTGTTACGTGATCAAAGGTACTTTTACAGGTAGGAGTGTGTGTGATTTCATGCACATACAGCAATTTATGACCAGAATTAAATCAAAGTGAAACTATTGCAGCAATAGTCAAAACTCTTCTAACTTTCTTTAGCTTTTCCCCAGAGCTATATTGTTAGCAAATACTCACTCTGCCCTTAGTAACTAACTCTTTCCTTTTTCCTCCCCTTCCTGCTCCCTCAGCTTTTCACTGAGAAAGATAAGAAGCAAAAGATAAGAAGATAAGAAGGGAATTGGCTGGTTTTGGCTTGCACAAAATCATTCTTTGTTCTTTTTTGGACCCTGACAGACATTCCCCAACAAATGAAGTCGTGTAATGCACCTCCCTCTACGTCTTCTGCCCAGTCTTGCCCTGTGTGGGATTTCTCCAAGGCCTCCAGTTGTTTGTCTGCAGGCAACCATGACACTTTGTCCCTGTCCACTTTGGGTGTTGGGTGAAGCACATCCCTTTGTGTGTTCATCACTTCTCTTGTCCCAAGAAGCTTCCAAATGACATCTTCAACTGTTTTCTTCCTCTGGAGGCAGGAAACAGCATCTACACACTCCAATGGCCCAGGACACTCGACCAATCTCTCTCTCTAGCCACCGACTTCCCATATGTCTTTCCTAAGGCCTTGATGCCTCAGACATGACATACCACTCCATTTTCCTTCTCTCTCTCTCTCTCTCTCTCTCTCTCTCTCTCTCTCTCTCTCTCTCTCTCTCCCACACACACACACAAACACACACACACACACATTTTACATGTCAAAGCAGCAGCAGTTGAAGAAGTGAGGGTTTAAACTCCAGCACCCATATATTATGTCTGGCCAATCAGAATGCTTCTTCCATATACCCCACAACAATCCTAGCTAGCAACCAAAGCAACTTGTCTGCTCCCATGATAGCACACCTGTACTTCAAGGCCTAGTGCACAATCACCTAAATATGAGCTAGCAGTGTGCTACAGATACCAAAAAAGCCAACACAGTCTTAGGCTGCATTAGTGGAGGGACAGAATCAAGATCATGTGAAGTGTTAATACTACTTTATAATGCCTTGGTAATTTCTCACTTGGAATATTGCATCCGGTTTTGGTTGCCATGATATAAAAAAGATGTTGAGACTCTAGAAAGAGTGTAGAGAAGAGCAACAAAAGTGGTTAGAGGACTGGAGGCTAAAACATACATAGAAGATTTGGGCAGGAATTGGGTATGTCTAGTTCAGTGATGGCAAACCTTTTAGAGACCAAGTGCCCAAATTGCAACCCCAAACCCACTTATACATTGTCGGGTGCTGGGTGGCTTTGGCCCATTGGCTGGGTGTGGCCAATTGGGGTGTATGGCCCATTGGGTGGGCGTGTCTGCGATGGTAATGGCAGACTGACTGGGACTAAAAAGTTCAATCAATTCCAACTTTGCAAGATCTTTTTTTTCCCGCGAGAAGTTGAAATTGACTGATTGATTGAACCTCTTTTTTTTTTTTTTTTTGCACAGTGGAGGCCTAAACTAGAAAGGTTTTATAAAACCCAGCTGAAGGCCTAGGACTGGGGCGACGGCGTGTGTGCCCACAGAGAGGGCTCTGAATGCCACCTCTGGCACCCATGCCATAGGTTCACCACCACTGGTCTAGTTTAATGAAAAAAAGGACTAAGGATGACATGATAGCACTGTTCCAATATCTAAGGAGCTGCCACAAAGAAGAGGAGGTCAACCTATTCTCCAAAGCACCTGAAGGCAAGACAAAAAAAAAAAAAAAATGGATGGAAACTAATCAAGGAGAAATTTCCTGACAGAACAATTAATCAGTGGAACAATTTGCCTCCAGAAGTTGTAGATGCTCCAACACTGGAGGATTTTAAGAAGAGATTGGACAACCATTTATCTGAAATGGTATAGGGTTTCCTACCTGAATAGAGGACTTTCCATTGTCCACCATTCAATCAGAACTGAAGAAGCTTCTTGTATGAGAAGTGAAAACATCTTCAAGGAAAAACAAAGTCCTGCTGCCTTTTGAAAAAGCACCTTTGGGACAAGCTTCCCCCTTTTTTTCACATTCCATAAGGAGTTTAATTTATTTATTTAGCATATAGCATCTACAGAGGTCATGTAATCACTGATGCACAAATTTAGTTTAAATAAAGTGTCAGCAAATATGTATGTATGTATGTATGTATGTATGTATGTATGTATGTATGTATGATATGTGGATATTGCAATATAAGAGATAATATAAGGGTCCACAAAGTTGAGGATCTTTTAAAAATATATAAAGACCTTTTTATTTGACTAGTGAGTGTACGGTGGAGCTGTTTATATCACCTTGTTGACAGTTTCTAGTTTAACATCTGTTTTAGTAAATATGGATATAGCTGCACTCTGTCATATTATAAGCCATTGCCCCAGATGATTGTTGTACTGAGTTTAATTGTAAATATTTGTTTTACTGGGTTGCAAGTAAAGATTTTGACTGGGTAGAATTTTGTAATTACTGTATTTTGTGCTTTTCTGAATTGTTCCATTTCTTGGTAAAAGCATATTATGGCTGATCACACAATCAACTAGATGTCTCCTACATTGACTCACGCATACTTGATACCTTCCTGTCTGATGTATCTGCCAATGGCACTATAAAAGAAAAAATATTTTTAATCATTCTTTATGTATTTGGGTCAGAAAGGGAAAAAGGCAGGGAAGGAAGGAAGGAAGGAAGGAAGGAAGGAAGGAAGGAAGGAAGGAAGGAAGGAAGGAAGGAAGGAAGGAAGGAAGGAAGGAAGGAAGGAAGGAAGGAAGGAAAGGTTAGTTTACTATTCTATCAATGTATTTATTTTTAAAACAAAAATGTGCATAGAGGGCAGTAACCAATGATCAGAGTATAAAGGGCATCCCTATCACAATCATAGTAACCAACTGGCACAAAGGTCTTTGCCCACAGTGAAATAATATGCACAAGACAAACAATCTAAGTTAATAATTAGCAAACATCTGGTCTCCTTTGGATCCCAGCCTGCTATTGGGGAACACATGCAAAGAGATTTTATATCAGGAAGCAGAATTATGACTAGTGAAAATGCTGGACTTTAGTCTGGATTCAAGTCCATTCTCACCCATGGTAATTACCCATGGTAATTCATGATTTTGGTTTCACTGTGTGATTTCCCTCTGTCTTAACCCAGCCTCCCATACAAGTTGTGAGAATAAAATAAACAGAAAATATAAACAATTAATACTAGCTGTTCTTTTCAAGCATGGACCTGACCAATGGTTGAAAAAGTTTCCTTAGTTTAGGCTTTGGCATCCACTTAAGGAAGTTATTTTAAGAAATGTAGGGCACAAGCCATAGCAAGAATTGTCATGCCAGATCCAGGAAAGTGCAACTGAACGAACAAAAGCTATAAGTTACCTTATGTAAACATCTAACATATCCTTGATCTAAACAACTGCAGTCTACCAAACACAAACATTCAGTGCAGGAAAAAAAAAACCTGCATAGGTAGGTGATCATCAAAGCTGTAGCAGCTTTCTTATGTGAAAGTTAATACATTTGGAAAGTCTGCTGGTTTGGCCTTCAGAGAATTCCTGTTTAATGGTTGTTCTTCAGAAAGATCCCTGTGGCTTTTTTCTATGTTAATGGCTGTCAGTCAGCAAACAGGTGCAACTCAAGGGGCTAATTATTACTTTTAAAGCCCCATATGGCCCAGGGCCCTGATATCTTCAGGACCAAATGCATCCGCTTGTCTAGTGAGATTAGGAATAGATGGCCCACTGTGGGGACCCTCATAGACAGGTCTTCTTGGTGGTGGTTCACCTTCTGTGAAACAACTTGCCCTCATACCTGAGCAATGGCCCCCTACACATCTTTTTTCACTGAGCATTTGAGGGGCTACAGTTCAGATCTGACCCTGATCATTGACCTCACTATTGAAATATTGTGACTTTCCTTATTTTGAATCTTCTCATTATGGAAGATGTTTCTGAGAGACAGTTGAAATGGAATAACATAAAAGTGCTGATGCTAAGCTAATAATGATGATTATAATGTTTTCTCTGGTGTACTTAATATATCAGGAAGTTACCTGGAAAGGCTTGTATCCTAAAGAGAATGCTACAAATACAGTCATGTAATGAATAAACTTAATGGACAATGATTACCGAGACACATTGTCAACCAAATGGATTGGGACTATTTTTATCCTTCTCTCATCACACCAGGACTCAAATTCTTTCAATAAACATGACAGGCAGTTGCCTCTTAAAAGTATATGTTTTTTCATACAATACTTATAATTATCAACCAGGTTTTGCTATTAGAACCCTAGGTGGTCACTGGCTTAAGTGGTTTTAAATAAGAATTGGGCAGATAAATCCCATTCTCCCTATATTATAGTCAAAACATCCAACTTTTAAAAAATCCTAATCACAATAAAGATATAAATGTCACCATGTTAAAAACAGTAACAAAAACAACTGAAATTCACAATCATTTAAAAATAATTAGTATTTAAATTTTAGATCCGTTTTGCTTAATCCTTCACTCAAATGACCCTCCTGGCTATGTAGCAATCTAGCACTACCAGTACCATTTCTCCCCATACATTTGAAGGAGGAAAAGAAATGTTTTACCACCCTTTTCCCCCCAAACATACCATAATTATTGGATACTCACCTATGCACACACACACAGTCATGGATACATGACTTCTGTATGTGTTTAAAGAGCACACACTAATTACAAATAGATCCAGTTTCGAAGCAAAAACCCCTTATAGCCTGTGAAGAAACCATTCAAGCCAGCTCAAGAGATTCCACCTTAACTAGCTTATTATGAATAAATGGTTGGAAATTAATCTTACACTTTCCCAGATTCTCTGTTTATCCTTAGCACTAGCATTAAAGATACCTTACTGGAAAACTGTACTTCTAATGGCTGTATGCAGTCATGGGGAGCTGCCCGTATGTATTTCCATGCAATGTATACCAGCATTTTGCTTTTTTCACACACACTCACAAGCACCATGGATGACTTGCTCATAATCTTCAAAACTGCAATAACTTCCTTATGCAGCTGTGTATGTTCCCTATGCTTTAGAACATAGAATCATATGCCTGGAAGGGCCTTAGAGGTCTTTTAGTCCAATTCCCCTGTTCAAGGCTACAGTCTTACACCATCCCAGTCAAATAGTTGTCCGGTCTATTTTGGAAAACCTCCAATGATCTTTAGAAGAGAAATTAGACAAATAGCAAAGTGGAAGCATTCAGTCACACATATACACAGATTTGATCTTACTATTGCAAATTACAGCTTGCCAAATTATATTTGAATCAAATGATCAAAAATCAAAAGCAATTTATGAGGAAAAGGAAAGATATTCAGTTCAATCTCCCTGTCCAGTCCTTTGCTCTTATAATTATTCTTTTCCTTTCAGCTGTCTTATTTTAGACCAGTTTTTATTCTTCCATACCTGTTGTAATATAGTTCCTAGAATTCACAGCCAGTAAGGGAAAGTCACAGACCTCGCCTAACTAAAGATACATATTTCTACACAACAACTGCAGAACATTCAGCCATGTATTCACATACCTGTACACTGGAAGTCGTATCAGAGCACCAGCAGTTCCTGGAAATGCTGGCAGAAACTTGGATTTTTTAGTAAAGAAAATTGTACCTGATAAGCCACACTCCAGATTCTTGGTAGTAAGGGGAAAAATTAGATTCCACTATTCCTGCCAAAGAGGACCCAACATTTTTTTTAATGCCTATGAAGGAAAAGCAAGAGTGAAATAAAGTGCCTACATTTGCTTTCATTTTCCTTTTCGGTTTGGGCTCTACCTGTAAGGGCAATTATTGAACCAAGACAAGTGTAAACAGGCCAAACAAGTTCTAAAATGTTCTATTGTCCACTGTTTAAAATGTAACCATTTAAGATAATGCTAGAATGAGCTTATAGGTATAGTGTTTTCTGTTGGGAAAGAGTGGGGTCCGTGCCACCTGATCCTCAAATTAAGGCCACTATGCTACAAGTGGGGAAGAGGGGAATGGTCCTAAGAACAAGTGGAGCCAGGAGCAGGCCTTTAAATCACAGATAGCAGAATGTCCAAGCACAGATTAAAGCCCAAATATAGATTCCCCTAATTACAGTATTTATTTTTATATGCTTTCTTTGTTCAATAAGCTGTGTGTCCATAGCAGTGTGTCTTCCAGTTTTCCCAAACGGCTCTGGGAGGCGGGGGGTAGTCAAAGATGCCTGCCCCAGTCACCCAGTGAAATTCCATGGCTAAGACCGCACTTGAAATGACTCAGGGATGCCCAGGCACCCCTAGCTCAGAGGTTCCCAACCTTTTGGGCATCAGGGACCGGTTACGTGGAGAGAAGATTTTCTGCAGACTGGGGGGGGGGATGATTTTGTGTGCTGCCTGCATCCCATGGATGGGATTTTCCTTGTTTGTGCAGCCTGGTTGCTGGCATACTGTGGCCCAGTACTGGTCCACGGACTGAGGGTTCAGGACCCCTGCCCTAGCTAAATCCTTCAACGTTAACCATGATATAGCTCTGCCATACCATGGACACTGTAATGGCCCATTCTTTGGCATCTACCCCCAACAGATTTGGGGGGGAGCAGAGGAAAGAGTAAGATTATGTAGATGGTGCAATTCAAGGTGCTAGTGGTTGCTTTTAAAACCCTCCATGGTTGAGATTAGATCAGACAGGAGAGGCATGTTCTGGGTCCTGTCTTTAAGAAATTATCATCTGTTGAGACTCAGGAGGATTTAAATGGCATGATGCCTGTCATCTAAACATCACCCCCTTCCCCAAATTAAACTTGCCCCAACCCTGTTGGTCTTTCCAAGGCACTAAAAATCTATCTTTGCCATCGAGTTTGGAGCCATAAGAACATGGATGAGCCAGTGTCATGGCTTGTTTGAATGGTTGTGAGTCTTCTTGGCTGCTATTTTCATGTTATTTTTCTGGGCTTTAATTCTTGTTGTTTTTATTATGTTTTATTCTGCTCTGATTGAGAGACCCCATGAGTCATTATATGAGATGAGCAGCCTGTAAATTTACTAAATAAACAGTTTTCCTGATTAACTGTGGATCAAGGGGTGGTGTTCTGCAGCTTTCAGCCTTCTCTGTCAATACACCTGCCCTATGGAGCAATCTCACCCAGAGATTTGGTGGCCCAAATCCTATGCAATGTTTTAGATAGAAGACCCTAAAGATTTGGTTGTTCCTCCATGTGCCAGGATGAGGCTGTTAGAGGAACCCAGCACGTCTTTACGTTTTAGTGGGTTTTTTTTAATGGTTCCTTGGCTATGCTGTCAATCAGTTGTCTTTTTCTATTATGTTTATTCTGTTTTTTGTTACCACACAAAATACTTAAAGATGGTTGCCATATATATGTCTAACAAATAGTCACAGGCTTGAAATAGGAGACTATATATTTCTATAGCTCATGCAGAAAATAAACTTGCTGTTCTAGAAGGCTCTGAAATAGAAACATGCAATGCCCAACTGACCTTAGAATCTGCCTTGTTTCTTAATTAGATAATTAATTGCTTTAATTACCAACTCTATCTTGGACACCAGAGTGCTTTTTAATCAATTCTAAGGAGAAATTTCGCTGCCAGAGAGTTTGTTTTTCTGGCCCTTCTTAAGTTAAGCGTACATCCTGACTGTGTTTGCACAGAATTAATGAGATAGATCCAGTCAAACAAACCAGTAGTAACTGGCATAGTGTTTATCATTGTAGGAGCAACCTCCCCTAATGTATAATCCAAGCACATGTCCAAATGAAGAATATGGTCTTTGGGTTTAGATGTGCTGTAGGCTTTCTATATCGGTTGTGGCAACTTGGTTTAAGATAAAATCTCTCTCAAATTAAGTTTGACTCTTAGTTACTAAACAGACATATCCATGTTACTTTTTTGGCAAAATAGTTCAGAAGTGTTTTGCATTGTCTTTTTTCAGAAGGTATTTTCAGCTTCCCTTTCCAAGAAGTTCCTAAAATTTCCTAACAGTCTCACTTTCAACAATACAACCTCTTGGTAGCTTTTGGGATATCAGAGTATCTGTATCAATACATCCCCAGATATACTGATAATTTGTTCACAAGTGAACAACTATAGTACAGGCAGAAATGCAGTAAGTGACACTTTGTTTCCATTGATTTCTTCTCTTAGTAAGATGAAGATCAAGATATTAATTAACTGCATTTGTTCATAGTTTCTTAGAAATTCATCAGTATAATTATATATTTCCCTTCTAGGAAAGAACAATAGTAACTTGAGAGGAATTTAGGTCTCCTAATGGACAACCACTTAAGTATGAGCCAGCAGTGCGCTGCAGTTGCCAAAAAAGCCAATGTAGTCCTAGGCTGCATCAACAGAGGGATAGTATCAAGATCACATGAAGTTTTAGTACCACTTTATACTGCAACTAGAAAGGCCACACTTGGAATATTGCATCCAGTTTTAGTCGCCATGATATAAAAAAAGATGTTGAGACTCTAGAGGAGTGCAGAGAAGAGCAGCAAAGATGACTAGATCCCCTCTCAGCTGGATGGAAACCATTCACTTTTGCCACAGAAAAGATGAACATCTGCTGTCACTGCCTGGTAATCTTAATTTTTGTAAATACAATTTTTAAACTTCCTGTCTCATTTTTTTTCCAAAAATAGAAATAATTGTGCAGACAATTATTTATATCTGGATATAAAGTCCATCTCTTTCCCACTCGTTAAATGAATGGTCTTTTAAAGAAAACACAGTTGCTGAATGAACTGCACAGCCCTGGATGTTAAATTAATGGATTCCTCCCAGGAGCCAAATTCTTCCCATAGAGAAGAACAATGCTCTAGAAGTTGTGAGTTCTGAATGTCTGCTTGGAAATCCATTCCAAGGTTTCATTTCTCTTTGAGGTAAGTGTTGGGCTTTTCTTACTTTTCATATAATGCATTCTAAATATTTCTTTTTATTATTTATTTACATTTATTTATTACAGCCATAGGCTACTCCAATCCAACTTTGGAGACTTTTAAGACATGTGGACTTCAACTCCCAGAATTCCTTAGCCAGTATAAAGTCCCAGAAGTTGAAGTTCATATGTCTTAAAGTCACCAAGGTTGTAGAAACACTGCTCCTATCATAACCAAGGCAGTTTGCAAAATCAAAACAATAAAAACACAATAATATACATAGCCCAGAAAAGCAAAAATAAAGAAAAACAGCATGACCTAATAGGTCAAAACATCCTACAAAACCAGTTATGCTACTCCAAGGCTTAGGAAGAAACTGAAGGTGGTGCAGAGATAAAGTCTCCTTAGTGAGCTGCTTACAAATTACTTTAATATTCCCCTTTTGTTATCTAAATCCTTTCATTATTCTTTAAACACTTTTATTGTTTTGAAACTATTACCTTTGACATATCTTATTTTTCCATTAATGTACATCATCTATAGCTACTAATACGTACATCCTATTTGTCAGCAATCACACATTCTTTCATTTCCTTTTTCTTGAACAATTTCAGTCCAACTTCTCAGTATCAAATATTAAACATACAAATGTGTAATATATTTCTGCCCCCATTTTCTAACATCAATTTCATCCCAAATCGTTTCATCATTTTTATTCTAAATTCCATTGACTCTTCTGGAGACTGTTTGCTTACTCCTTTTCATCCATTACAGTATGTAAGTTATAGTAGAAATAACACCTTCCACAGAATACCATAAATGCAGGAATTCATTGGCTCTTGATAGCTGAATGTGAATGATAGTAAAGAAAGAATCAAAGGTGAATTTAAGGTGGAATTGAGGGGTTCTTGGTAGTCTCTGAACTTGGTTGCTTTCTTGCAGATGTTTCATTATCTAAACAGAGGCATAGAATCAAGATCACGCGAAGTATTAGTACCATTTTATAAAGCTCTAGTAAGAACGCACCTTGAATATACAGCCAATTTTGGTTACCATATCACAAAAAAGATGTTGAGAGACTGGAAAAAATTCAGAGAAGAGCAACTAAGATGATCAAAGGTCTGGAGACCAAAACGTATGAAGAATGGCTGCAGGACTTGGGTTTGGCCAGTCTCACCAATTATGGTGTGTGTATATTGCTTAATTAAAGCATGTCCATTCTGGAAATGGAATGTAAATAAATGGATTGACATTATATATCATATAATGAGGCAACAAGAAAACAGGGGAATTGTAATTGACTCCTTGTTTATCCGAATGAAAAATAATAGTTGAATATTGTCATCCAACTATTTTGTTCCCTGGATTTCTTCAGGTTTTGGTTAAATCTGGACTTTTCTTATCCTTCTTACCTGCCTACCCTTCAATGGCTGAGTGGAGTGACCTATAACTTTAATAAATAAATAAACCATTCTCCATACAGTGAATACAGTAAGGACACCCTAACAACAGAGATCTGATTGATACTGACAGTAGCAGTATTTGCATATTAACTGAAAACTTTTGCTTTCATTGAAATGCAAATGTCCCTGACATATATGACCTGCCTTTTATCCCTTGTTGTGGATTACCTTATGATTTCTTACTTTTCCTGTTTTTCAACATTGTATACAATGATCAGTTGTAAGTGGTTCCATCCGGTTTAAAATTTTAAACCAACAAACCAACTACCGTCAAGAAAGGGCCACAGAAATGAAACTGTTACAATAATCATTGCTTGCTATATCCACTAGATGTCCTTGCACTACACAGGTTTGGGAGAATATCACTAGATAAACAAAAGTGTGAGCCACACAGACAAGATATACATTTGAATCAACATACACATTGTAAGCAAAA